TTTTTGAATACATTTGTTTATTCATTTCACTCAAATGAAAACAACACTGAAATGTTCGCTATTTCTGTTTTTAAATACATTGTTTTTATTTCTGTCTTGAAATACATTTGTATTTTGATTCATCAAGTATGTAACTCGGGGCTTCTCGTATATTAAAATAAAGACAGTTCTGTCGGTTACAATCATATTTCTATTCGATCATCAAAACTTTGTTATGTCTTCTTATCTTTTTCTAACAATCTTGCTCTTTATCTATAATACTAAATCCTTCTCTTCTTGTTTCTATTCAGATGGCATAAACTTCCTGTCGGAAAGTTTTCAGTTGTACGTGTGCATAACTGTGGCGAATCGGTTCCTACTATTTCTAACATCAATTACTTAATGATATAACACAAAAGTTCAAGGCAACAGCCATGCCACATTACCATTGTCACAGAAAGTTCTCACTTCTCTTGCATACAATTATTATTTTTGCAACAGTGTCAAATATTTTTTATATGTTTGTCTTGCAAACGGAAATAACGTCAACATCCTATGAAAACATTAAATTTCCTTTCAGGCGATTCCTTCCTGGTCTACAATCAAGGGAAAATAATTGTTTTAGGTTTCTTTATTCTTGTATTAGTGTATGCTGTATCATCTGCATTGACTATATTCCTTATAATGGTAGCTGGCGACGTACATCCAAACCCAGGACCCTTAACCTCATTACACTCGAGTGACTCGTCTCTTTCAAATATTTCAAACATGTCATCACTGTCTTCCTCTTTGTCCGATTTGATGATTAATAACAGGTACTTTTCTGTCTTACATTATAACGTCCAAAGCATTGCAAACAAGATAGATATCATTGACTGTACATGTACTGATCAAGTGAAATTGAGAAGGCTATCAAAATTGACACGTGTTTTCGTTTCAGTAAAATGGTTGGTGTGTGCGTTTGTGTGAAAAAAGCTTAGCTCTAGACACAGAGTCATACTGAAGATTGTAGAATGTTTGTGACATGCCAAATTTAACGAAGGATCCCTAAGACACACATGGCAGTGCATATTTGCCTACTGTATATTTTCCCTGATTGTGGAAGATCTTGTCTGATTATAGTCTTAAGGACAAATGTATGTGAAAAATGTAGTATGATGTTAAGAAAGGAAGGACATTATCACCCGGAAATTCCACTAGTCAGTTACACATTGAGAGAAAAACCATATACATCATTAAGATTTTATGACGATTTTATAAAAAAAAGATTTTCAAAAACAGAAACACAAACAAGAGATTTTACATTTATTTCAAAAAATATTTAGCACTTGTAGATAGTGAGTGAATAAACATACATGTATAAAGCATTAAAATTAAAATATATACGAAGAACAATCGGAGTTGTAGCATCACGATATTTTACATTCCAACTGCAAACTATCCAAAATGAATATACATTGTACACATTATCTCCCTTGTATTCATGCTCACTTTTGTTTGAGATGTTTGTTGGAAGTAAATTGTCAAAACTATCAAATTCTTTCATTTTGATTAACTAAGTAGCTTTTTCGTTTCCTTGCTCCAAAGCGCCTCAAAATTCCCTTCTTAAATTTTCCCTTCCCAGGTGGTTGTACATCAGGTTCATGGATTCTGGAATACTTAATAAAAGTAAAAACATTTTAGTAAAGAAGGATATACATTTAGTGATGATAAATATTTTAGCAAAGAAGAAGTTTTTGTGTCAGACATAAACAATGGAGGTGGTATATAGATTGTCCAATCAAATGTCTGTTTTACACTCCGATAAACTGCATATAATTCGAAGTATTTTTCAGTAATAAAATAGAAAGTAGAGAAAATCTACTGAGTGAATAAAATGATTTATCACGAAAATCAGAGATCAAAGGTAAAATAAAGGTGACGGAATTATGTGAGTACTTCCAAGTGTAAGGTAAATGCCTTCCGTAATCAGTAACCTCCTCATCCACCCACCCCCCCCCCCCCGCCCCTCGGAAAAAAGATTATTTATGGTATATATTTGTTCAGTAGCACTGACAAATTATCTGACCTATTGTGGCGTACAGTTATCTTATCACACCGAAACCCGTCGTGCACATAAATATTTTGACAACAATGCGTAAATATATATTCTAACACTCCTCGTGACTTTGTCACTATAGACAAAGAAGAAGAAAACCGGTGTTAAACTACCAATAAAATAATAATAATAATAATAATAATTAATATTTTGACAAAACGGTGCCAATCCGTAAGCAGCGTAATGACGTCATCAAGTATACAACTCATTCATAAACGCGCTAGACTGGCGTCATTTCAAACATACAAGAATGATTAATCAACAACTCGAACAGCACTATTCGAACATTGGCACCGGAAGTAATCTTCGCTCGAAAAACATAAGTGATCTTCCTTATTTTATCTTGTTAGAATCGAAATAATTTCGGTCTGAGCGGTGTGTATCGGTTATTTAACACCGGTTTTGTCGTTTCGATGCGAAAAAATTAACCACTCAGGCCTACGGCCTTCGTGATCAATTCCTACGCATCAAAACTCCAAACCGGTGTTAAATAGCCGATAAACACCGCTAATATACCGATATTATTTCTTAATCTTAGTTCTTATGTCAGACATGAACAATTGAAGTGAAATATAGATTGTCAAATAACAAGCACAGTAATGTTTGCTTTGCAACTCAATAATAGGTATTTACGTAAGTTGTAATTAGAAATAGCAATTAACATTCACAATTTATGACTTTGTCACGGACACAGAGTCATTTACTGCCAATTTACAGTCAATAACTTTTTTATTATTGTACCTAAACTTCTATGATTTCGAGAAAATACATGTAGGTCAGAGCCCCACATCATACACACAAAAATTGCGTTTTTAATAGTCAATGACTGTTACATGTTTTATAAAATACTTACTCTTTTTAGTTAGTTTAAACATATTTTATTGGATAAATACATGTTTACAAACATATCATACAAATAATGAACTCGTATATAGGAAAATGCAAAAAGGTTGGGCAACGAGTTCTTACAACATTAGATTAAGCCTTTCCCTTGCTCTGAAGTACGAGGGGAAGTCAGAAAATATCCGGACTTTTGACTCGTTCTCGAAAACCATTCAACATTTAAAAAAAATCTTTCTACTCTTTTTCAAAATATTCTCCACCTACGTCTACGCACTTTTGCCATCTTCGTGGGAGCTTTTGTATTCCCGCTGTGAACCATGACGTAGACCTATGTTTTAGGTACTGTGTAACAGCAGATATCAAAGCCGCCCTGGTCTTATATTTCTTTCCAGCAAGCAATTTTTTCAGTTCTGGAAACAAATAAAAGTCACAGGGGGCGAGGTCTGGGCTATAAGGAGGGTGAGACAACAATTGCCATTTGTAAGAGTTGATAACCTCCACTGTAGCTGCGGCGGTATGGGAGGGGGCGTTATCGTGAAGAAGGAGGACATTTCAGCTTTTCTCTGAGATTTTTCAGAATTACTTCAGAATAGTACTTGGCGGTGACAGTTTGACCTTTTGGCATGAAATAAGTAAGTATCATTCCTCGTGAATCCCAAAAGGCAACAAGCATGACTTTGCCAGCCGAAGGAGACAGTTTAAACTTTTAAGGAGGTGGGGAACCAGCTCGTTTCCTCTGCTTTGACTGAGCTTTTGTCTCAGGTTCGGAATAATGAACCCACATCTCATCTTTAGTGATAATGCGGTTCAAAAACTTATCTCCTTCACGATTAAAACGACTTAAATGTTCTTTTGCATTGCTTACTCTGGTTGCCTTTTGATCTGCGGACAGCTGTCTAGGCACCCACCTGGCACTAACCTTGCTCATGCCTAGGTGTTCGTGTAAAATCTTGTGTGCCGATGCCTTACCGATGCTAAACTTGTTGGCTACCTCCTCCAAAGTTACTCGACGATTTTTGTTGACAAAAGTTTAATATTTGCTACCATTGTTGGGGTCACCGCCTCAGCTGGCCGCCCAGTCCTAGGCCTGTCACAAACACTTGTTCTGCCTTCACGAAACTGAGAAACCCAGTTGTAGAAGGTTGAACGTGATACACATCTTTTTTCAAGCCTCTGGAAGATGTGGCAGGGCTTTTCACCTTCTGCAACCTGAAACTTTATTACAGAGCGTTGTTCCTCTAACAAAGATTCCATGACAGACGAAACACCTATCATATATCAGAGGGCAAAATACTGTGTATACACAACTATCATTGAAAATAAACTGACCACGTTATTGGCGAATGAATGTAGTTTTCACCAATATATAATGTGTGTATATAGCTGCACGTGGAAAGAGAGGAGCATGAAAAGTCCGGATATTTTCTGACCGTCCCTCGAATGTTTCCGTATCGTTCCATTTCACATCGCTTAAAAAAGTATCGCACCGCTATACCCTCGACCCTTTGAAAATGATACTTTAATAATAATAATAATAATAATAATAATAATAATAATAATAATAATAATAATAAAAACACGCAAGCATTTTATGCTTGATAAGCGGCGGACTCGAGACAAACACAAAATGCTTGGGTCAGTATTTGATCTTGGACATTATACTGCAATTCAGTTCATAATTATGTGGCGTGATCCATTCTTTATGAGGCAACATGTTTATCTTTGTTTCAAACCGCGAATAGATGTCGTAAATATAAGTATAAATTTCACACACAGTACACTGTCAATTTATAGACCTTCCGAAGAACCCTTTCAAACTATCGATAATTGCATAATTTGTTCTATCGGCTGATATTTTCATATATACATATTATACATACATGAATATATAATAACAAGTTTATTTGTCGAAAGCGGCATGTAATAATAACAAAAGCTTCTATTGTTTTCTTATTATATAAGAAATTCATTGTATCGGGTATTGGTTTGACTCCTTGTGACAACACTTTGTTTGATACACCGCATGACAATTACAGCTCACGTCGAGTAGAATATATAAGAAACTAGTGGCAACTACACGTACTATTTTATAATCTTATACTGATCGTATGAGATCTGTATTTTTTCGATAATTTATGTAAATGTCATTTACCATCTATTTTATACGAATATGGGATTTATTTACTGCATTTTTATTATTATGAAGCGAATAACTATTTTTAAAAAATGATAATCGCGTGCGTGTTTTAAACGAACTCAGTTAGATCTATTAAAAATATCTGCTTCATGGAATTTCCTCCAAAGTTATAATTATATGATCAATGGAAGAAATGAAGCGACTTTTATACTTGAAACAAACACATGCATTTTGTTCTGCGGAGAGAAAGGATTAATGGAAAATAAAACGAATATTTCTGCGGAATATGATGTTGGCTCTGATAATCAACAGCTTGTTATATATTATGGTGTTAACGGATTTGGAATTTCATGGACTTATCTTGTCATACATATTGCTTTAGCATCAGTAGCATTTGTTGGAATTGCACTTAATTCATTTACATTATGGGCATTACGCGGGAAGGATTCTGGATTAGACGTGTCTATTATATTCATATCCAACTTAGCTGCGAGTGACATCATCAATGACGTCATGTGTATATATTTGGTATTTTACAACCTTATACACTACAAAAATTATTACGAATGTGCCTTTCGAACCGGTGTTATAACTGGCATTAATTTTAATTCAGCTTTACAACTTTTAGCCTTAACTCTGGAGCGTTATTTTAAGATAATTCACCCGTTTAAATATGTATCAGTGTTCAAAGACAAAACTGCCAAGTTGTTCTGCGCATGCGCTTGGATTCTATCAACCATCTTATCTCTCCTTCCTCTTTTTGGCTTGCGACAGCCGCCGAGTCATGGAATAGAATATTGTAGCTTTTTCGGCGTACTGACAGACGAATATCTGATACTAACGACTGCATGTTTTTATTTGGTCATGCTCATATCAGTCTTGTGTTACTACAAAATATTGGCGGCGTCGTTTGCACAATCAAAGAAATGTTTAAATAAACAGGCAACGAAACATTTATGGTGGAAACCAACAAAAACAGTCCTGATCTTGTTCCTGTTTTACTTTGCTTGTTGGATACCATTAAGTAAGTAGTTTCTTGACTAGATAATATATAGTGACAATACAACAATAAGTTTCTTCAAAATAGTAACATTTTAATAATTTCAAATACAAACTAGGCAGATCCTTTAGTAAGGACTTCCGCTTGTGGTCAGGGAAAACCTAAGTCTTCAGACGCAGGGACAGCCAAGCGATTTTATTTGATAAATACAAGTATCTATAGTCTATAAGAATAAATAACTCAATTTCTTATTAAAATGGTTTCTACTTTTTGTCTACTTGATTTACATATGATGTGTAAGATATGCGAGACTGTGTAAAATGTTCTTCCTTATTTAACTTTCTATTGTCTATTCTTTATTCAATGTCCTGTAACTTTCCACTTTTGAATTTATATCATGTTTATTTTTATTGAATATGTTTCTGCGGATAAAATTTCCTCTTAAATTGAATTGTCTCAAAACATAATAAAGTGCATTTATAATAGTACACACATGTGTTGTTCTACTTTTAGAATACAATGGCCGGACAATGACTAATTATTGGTCACTCAATTTTATTTTTGGCATAAAAACTTCGCACGCAGCCATACACAAATGAAGAAGAAAAGATAATTATACATTTACGGATAAATGAACGCGAGCACGCACCGTATTAACTAACTGACTGTAATAACGGATGTTGCAAAGTGACATCGCACGTGAAAAGCATGACGAAACTGATTTTTTATATCCTAAAAATAAATATTATCGCACCAGACGTATGCGTTTTGCAAGAATAACGCTTATGCAAATCTTTTCTTGCATAAATATCTGCATAATCACTTGGACTTTATTAAATAAAGTCCTCGCCTTGTGTGCACGACGTGAATGCTCGAATAAATGCATTAAGTTTCCAAGTTTATCTAAAACAAAAGTAGATATAATGCTTTAAATGTCAGCTCATTAATAAATTAAACTTTGCCATGGAACGTTAGTGAATGAGGTAAGAAAATGTGAACTTAAGTCTGAATGCGGTCACTTATTCAATAATTTTGAGAAGTAAAAAGTAACAATAATTTATCAACCATGTCTTATAAAAACATGAAGAATATGTCGACGTGGTACACAAAGAAAAAAAGTATATTTCAGTAATTGATCAAATATTTGTAACCTGTCGTTATTTAGATGAAAGATTCTGCTTATTTGGGTTCAAATGAAGATAAGTTATGTGTACTATTTAAAAACAATATTCGGCAAAATATATATTGTACAGTAACTGAAAAATATTCTTCATTTTGTGTGACCTAGGTTTTAGATTTAATATGAATTTGATATTTTTTTTTGCATATAAAATTTGATTTTTTAAAAAAAATCTGAGTTAACCCAGTGGACGTGTATAAAATCCTTCAAGTTTATCTATAGATAAAAAATAATTTTTGTGATCTTGCATTGATCTTCATGATATAAAACTTATAATAATAATAATAATAATAATAATAATAATAATAATAATAATAATAATAATAATAATAATAATAATAAAAATAATAATAATAATAAAAAAACACGCAAGCATTATTAACGGTGTCTGCAACACAGAGTAATTTATGAAAGTAGTCTACTAGGATTGATTTTTTTTCTTCTAACATAGAAGTTTTATTCAAATATTAAACACTTGGTGCAATGATTGCAACATTTTAAGGCAATAACATATATCGTGTTTTACGATCTTTTCGCCGCTCTCTGTCTTTCATTATTTATTCGTTTTTAATGATATTGATTATCAATATTTGGTCGGATAGAGTAAAAGAGAATTAATCAAACTTATGTTATATAGTGTGTTAACTGATATAAAATTAATGTTCCCTATTGATTAGATTATTAAGATAAATAAATAAAATATGTAATTACATGTATATACATGAACGTTCAATTATTACATGTACACTACAATAAGAAGAATCATTGTATAATGTAACATTACAGACATGTAAGTAGGTCTATGCACGGTGTGTGAGAAAATACAAGAAAATATTAAAGGGAGACGTGGGCAACATTTTTATTTCTTCTTCCTGAATGTTTAATCTGATATCCTATTTATGTCCTCAAAATGAATACACAATGCAGTTCTATGTGCAAAGATTGTCTCCTTATGAAAGAAAACACTGGAAGCTTCCTAACATTAGAACATTTAGATTTAACGCTAAATATCGCAGTGATTTATGGGAACGAAATATTACTCATCAAGTTAAAGACCAAATTAAACAATCATTGTATAACTTCCGACGCTTGTTCTTGTCAGGCAATTTGCTTATTCATGATTTGGTGATTATGTTTGCTTTTTCACGGAAGCGTATCAGGGCCTACAGTTGGTGAGATGTTTTGCGCTAAGTCGACTTATTTTTATTAGCATAGATAAGATGTTTTTGCATTTCTCAATAATTTTTACTGACAAAGATGAGAAGCATTTAGGCATCGCAACTGAATTTTTCTCGATATGCTTGAAGCTTTCGTCTCCTCGACAAAAATACTGTCGAAACTTCTTAATTTCACGATTTTGCTGAAATATTTAGTAAGACGCAAAGACGTTACTCGCATTGACAAATAGCTCATGTAATTCAACAAAGTTTTATTGCATTAATTAAAAAGTTCTACGTATTACGTATTTGTCAAAACCTCTTCATGGAATGTTTTTGATCAAAACGAGAAGAAACAAGTTGACATGACGTGAAACTTTTAGATAAGTGGAGGCCCTGATAAGCTTCCGTACTTTTAAATTTAATTAAACAAACGGATATTGCATTGCATTTAAAACAGAATTATATATCACTAATGAAGTCAAATATGCTGGCAATTAAAAAACTCTCATTGTTAGCGCGATTTCAGTGAATAAAGCAAATATAATGATTTTGCCATTCTTTTGCCTGTACATCCCTTGTTGTTGTTGTTGTTAAGAGTAAAATCTACCTACTAAAACATACAATATGGAATAGCCTACACAATCATTTACTTAAAAACTAAATCCGTCAAAATAAGTCAAAGTCAATGCTTGGTGTTATTAAGAAAAAACTGTGATTTCAATTTTGTAAATGATAAAAACAAGTTTGGCCTTTTTGTTCAATATTATAGAAGTATTTGAATAGTTCAGTCATTGGCGTTTACATTTCGTGATCATCATGTTTAGTCTAGGGTGCCAGACTGTGTGTCATGGACACAAAGCGATAATCCTTTTTTTCACTAGTAATGTTGACATGACGATTTATGACTTAAGGAAAGTGTGGACCCCCCCCCCCCCCCTCCTGGCACACAATCTTCTGTACATCATTTCACGGCGTTTTTCACCTTCTGTACATTTTAGTCAGAGCTTTTAAAAGTACATTATTACACAATTTATTTAATATATGTAAATTATAACACATGGTTTTTAATATGTGTCTATCTAAATTCAGTTTTTCATAACCAATTAAACTTTAAAACTTTAATTTTATTGCCGAACTTTTAAAATGTTCGTTAAAAAATGGTCTCAATTCAAATATTTGTTGTTTTTTCAAGGTGCTTGTGTCATACTACATTTATCGGACGGATTTCCGGCAAACTACACGAATGATATGAAAGGAACAGTTCTTGCCTATTGTTCATCCCTGGTGTTTCTGGATACCATAGTCAACCCGCTTATATACGCTCTAAAAATCCAAACAGTAAAATATAAACTGAAACAACTGATGTTCTGGTGTAAGCCACCTTCTAAAACTGGCGACATTTCTACATTTAAGATGGACAGATTTGATAGCTGCACCAGCGACATACATGTTTGTGCATAGACTCTATATTACTACATACAATCTATATACATACCGTATAAATCTATATACAGTATGAATCTATATGCCGTATAAATCTATATACCGTATAAATTTATATACCAGATTCAAACTATTTACCGTATAAGTCTATCTATATAGAAGATTCAATATACATTTATATACCGAATAAAAATCTATAATCCAGATTCATTCGATTTGCCAGATTCAATCTATATACGTATTAAATGAAATTGTCATACATAATACAGAAAGCAGAAAGTGAACTATATTAACTTATATCATAACACTTGATTTATATATTTTCAATGAATTCTGTTTCTGGCTTAAAATGGATTGGTGTACAGTAGGCAAATTTTCCATAAGTATTAAAAAAAATAAAAAATAAAAAAAAAAACAACAATAGAAACTTATCATCAAATGTTGCTAAAAAAAATGTTGATATCGTTCTAAGCTATTTAGCATCAACATTGATATTGTGAATAATAATTTTTTGTTCTAGAAAGTTTATTATCTGCTTAATATATAAACGTGATATTGGATCATTGACTTAATGTTACAAATACCACATTCAAATATTTCATATTTGCCAGCATCAATAAGTTTGTTGTAATGAATGATACTAAATACGTGTAACAAGGACGTAATTATTTACTTGAATTATAGCCAACCCGGCCTCATGTCAATCCGTCCCAAAAATAGATCAATCCGGCCCCAAAATTGGTCAATCCGGCTTCACATTATTTCGACTTGGTCAATGCGGCACAAAAATCGTGCACACTGTCTTATCAACAGCTCTTGTTCGTGTTACATTTGAGCCGCGTCACGACAAAACCAACAAAATCAATGGGTTTGCGACCAGCATGGATCCAGACCAGCCTGCGCATCCGCGCAGTCTGATCAGGATCCATGCTGTTCGCTGGCAGACCCTATAACAAGTAAAGAAACTGATAGCGAACAGCATGGATCCTCATCAGACTGCGCGGATGCGCAGGCGTGTCTGGATTCATACTGGTCGCAAACCCATTATGTTGGTTTTGTCGTGACGCGGCTCATTTATTTTTGAGCTGTGAGATTATATCACCTACGTAATTTGTCCATCTTGGCACCTCCATACATGCCGTATAACATAAACTCTTAACCTCTGTTTAAACTCGATAACAATACTTCTCGGCAACGTTAACAAATAATTTTTATAGCTTGTTAATATACATTTGTTTCTTATAAGTATTTTTATTCAAACTTTGTTAGATATGTCATAACAATTGTTTATACTCGCCAACAATACTTCTCGGCTAACTGTAACACTTTACATCACACAGTATCTGTACACTTTTACGTTGAATAAAATATATGAGGCGCGTCACGACAAAACCAACATAGTGCGTTTGCGATCAGCATGAATCCAGACCAGCCTGTGCATCCGCGCAGTCTGATCAGGATCCATGCTGTTCGCTATCAATTGCTCTACTTGTAATAGGGTTGGTAAGCTAGCAGCATGGATCCTTATCAGACTGCGTGGATGCGCAGGCTGGTCTGGGTCCATGCTTGTCGCAAACCCATTATGTTGGTTTTGTCATGGCACTGCTCAATTATGTTATGTTATATGTTATGTTATGTATAGCATTAGATAATCTGATAATTAACTTTGCGGTATAAACTGGATATATTAACATGTGCCTTTGTATATGTAAGTTTTTGACCCCCAGGCCACTGAGGTCAGATCAGTATCTGTGGTAATTTCATAAATAGATATTATGTAATGTATTGATATTTGTTGTGACATTTGGTCTATATTTGATATTAAATTTGTTTTGTATCTATAAATTCGGAAGAAAAAAATCATTTTGTTTTGTTTTATTCCTAGAAAATCCACATATGCATGTACATTAATAATCAAAATTTGCCATATGCATGTACATTATCAACCGAAACCTGTCATAAACATGTTCATGTATTTGAAACTTTTATGTAAAATATTTCTATTGTCGTTCATACAAACTAAAATAACACTCTTTGAAGAAGGCTTTTCACCTTTTATCAAGAATATAAATAGTGTCACCGAATATTAAACTGTTTTATTTTGTCCCTGAAAACACAATATTTGTTTGTTCAGATGTTCCTAAGATCCAATAAAAAAATCGAAGCCGACATGTCTAGTTCTTTAACGGCAATGGCAAATCCTCTATGGCTAGAAATAAAGTCAATCTGCAACTCTATTTAAAGAAAGTAATTAGAAATATATATCTCCAGAGATGTGACATATCTGAGGTAAAATGAACACTGAATTGATTCTTATCGTACTTAATTAGTTTTCAGAGTACGTAAGACGATTACCCCGTAAATAACAGGGAAATAAATGCACTTTTATGTTTTTAAAATGATCACAATGTGACATATTTGCCCGTCCTTTCAATAAGGCTTCTGTCTCACTTATTTTCTAAATTGTTATCGTTGTTCTGAAGGTTTTGATGGTAAAGGAATCATGTAATTTGTACTTAATCTGTGCACGAATCTTCGCATGTGTATTGGGTGTAATAATTGCTGACACACATGTTTGTAATCCTCTCTTACTTGATTTGGTTTGATTTGTATTGTAACTTACACAGGCAACCTTACTCTCATAAATGAGTTTGATGTACCTGTGCCCGCTCTTGGACCCCTCCGCTGTTTTTGATTAAGACAACATGGTGTCAAGATAAACGCTACAACCAAGCAGGTTTCAGAATAGTCTCTGATTATACTTAACGGTGACAAGATTAACGCTACAACCGAGCAGCTAGCAGAATAGACTCTGATTATACTTAACGGTGACCAAATTAACGCTAAAACCGAGCAGGTAGCAGAATAGACTCTGGTAATACTTAACGGTGACCAAATTAACGCTAAAACCGAGCAGGTACCAGAATAGACTCTGGTAATACTTAACGGTGACCAAATTAACGCTAAACCCGAGCAGGTAACAGAATAGACTCTGGTAATACTTAACGGTGACCAAATTAACGCTTTAACCGAGCAGCTAGCACAATAGACTCTGGTAATACTTAACGGTGACCAAATTAACGCTAAAACCGAGCAGGTACCAGAATAGACTCTGGTAATACTTAACGGTGACCAAATTAACGCTTTAACCGAGCAGCTAGCACAATAGACTCTGGTAATACTTAACGGTGACCAAATTAACGCTAAAACCGAGCAGGTAACAGAATAGACTCTGGTAATACTTAACGGTGACCAAATTAACGCTAAAACCGAGCAGGTAACAGAATAGACTCTGGTAATACTTAACGGTGACAAAATTAACGCTAAACCCGAACAGGTAACAGAATAGACTCTGGTAATACTTAACGGTGACCAAATTAACGCTAAAACCGAGCAGGTAACAGAATAGACTCTGGTAATACTTAACTGTGACCAAATTAACGCTAAAACCGAGCAGGTAACAGAATAGACTCTGGTAATACTTAACGGTGACCAAATTAATGCTACAACCGAGCAGCTAGCAGAATAGACTCTGTAATATACTTAACGGTGACAAGATTAACGCTTTAACCGAGCAGGTAGCAGAATAGACTCTGGTTATACTTAACGGTGACCAAATTAACGCTAAAACCGAGCAGGTAGCAGAATAGACTCTGGTAATACTTAACTGTGACCAAATTAACGCTAAAACCGAGCAGGTAACAGAATAGACTCTGGTAATACTTAACGGTGACCAAATTAATGCTTTACAACCGAGCAGCTAGCAGAATAGACTCTGGTAATACTTAACGGTGACCAAGAATAACGCTTTAACCGAGCAGGTAGCAGAATAGACTCTGGTTATACTTAACGGTGACCAAATTAACGCTAAAACCGAGCAGGTAGCAGAATAGACTCTGGTAATACTTAACTGTGACCAAATTAACGCTAAAACCGAGCAGGTAGCAGAATAGACTCTGGTAATACTTAACGGTGACAAGATTAACGCTAAAACCGAGCAGGTAGCAGAATAGACTCTGGTAATACTTAACGGTGACAAGATTAACGCTAAAAACCGAGCAGGTAGCAGAATAGACTCTGGTAATACTTAACTGTGACCAAATTAACGCTAAAACCGAGCAGCTAGCACAATAGACTCTGGTAATACTTAACGGTGACAAGATTAACGCTAAAACCGAGCAGGTAGCAGAATAGACTCTGGTAATACCTAACGGTGACCAAATTAACGCTTTAACCGAGCAGCTAGCACAATAGACTCTGGTAATACTTAACGGTGACAAGATTAACGCTTTAACCGAGCAGCTAGCACAATAGACTCGGTGACAAGATTAACGCTTCAACCGAACAGCTTGCATACTAGTAGTATATTTCTATATGATTATGGTCTGCTTGAAATTATTGACTTCATGTAATATTTGCAGGGACACGAAACGCCATTTTAATTTAAGAAACCAAATATATCCAATAAAATAGAAGCTCTATTTCTCTCTTATTGGTTCTTTATTGAGCTGAATCACTCGAATACAGTGTAATATATCATCTGAAGATCTTATACTTCTTCCTAATTTATATTAGGGATTGTTTTTATTATTGTTTAACAAGTCCGTTTTATACCTAACAACGGAGATAAACAGAACGAAATAATTTCAAACCGTAATTACAGATTGATAATAACAAGCAAAATTCCGTAAAAATTCTTTTCTTCTTTTTTTTATGTTTTTATTTGTTTGGGTCGTCAGACCAAACAAATAATGGTAGCGAAATTTCAGACTCTAATGCTGTTAATTGCAAATGCCGAAAGTAGTCCGCTTTTTTGAAGCGGTTACTTCCCTTTATATGTAACACTAAGGCCGAAAAAGGCCGAGATCACTGCGTAAATATGGTCACATGACAGGCGCATTAATTTTCAAGCAAAATAATTCCCGAATGGTCGAAGATTTCTAATATTGTTTTATTCTTTATAGATATACATGCTTATAGTAAGCGCCATGATTATTTACACAAGTGTTAAACAACAGTTAGCGTCTTTACAACCCTAATATATATTTACCGTGGCCGAGGGGTATGCGCGCTCGCTTAGGAAGCGAGAGGTCTGGAGTTCAAATCCTAGTTAAGGCAACTCATTATTTTTTCAAATTGTTTAAATGAAATAAACATTGGATTGAATATCAGTGTTGCAAATAGTCTTATAGCAAATCTACTACAATTAAAACGCTGGAAAGCATTGGTGGCACTATACAAAAAAAAAAGTTTTATAATCTCACAACCTTCACCTTTCTGACATTCTATGCTTTGATTGTGTAATGTTGTTATTGACAGGAAACTTGTAGTTTTGCCATATCGACGTTTTAATTGGTCTATGTACGGCATGGGAATGAGGAAATATGTTGCATGTTTTGATATCCATGTCTATATATGTTACAATAAAAAGTAATAACGTTGACGATTCAATTAATTCAATTAATGATTTTTCGGATACAAATATCAGAATAACAGACTGAGCTAGCAGCAGAATAGGGTTTGGTCAGACTGTACGGATGTGGATAATTCTAAGGAGGATGGTAAAACGATGCATTATATAATTGAGTGCGCCTAGCTAATGTCGTATAACGGAGGAAGAACTCACGGATGTTACATACTTTTAATATACAAATACAAACACACAAGTGAACGAGTGGAATACCAAAGTCGAACTCCTGCTTTTACATTTGAGAATAGTATATATAATATCAACCTGTCCTAAGGACATTTTATAATGTATATGAATACACACGTTTTAGAGTGACATATATTAATCATCCTGACATAAGGTCAGTCCGTATGCATCTCCTGCACTATAATACTCATAAATCATGTCATGTTCCATAGTGCACATTAAGAAATAAAAACCCTAATATATGTATATACATGTTGACTTGTCATTCTTTTTGAATATAGCGTGTATGACTCATTAGCCTGTGCAACCAGCTATACGACAATTCCTCCATTACTTATAATAAAAAATATTAAAAAAAAAAAGTATTGAACAAGTTAGTATTTAATATCAAACATTTCAAACTCGTTCTAACAAATTATAAAAATCTAAAATCAACTTGACATCTGTTTTACCCTTAAGGTAATATCCGGTCAGAGATGTCCGGTCAGAGATGTTATCTAACGACTTTTGTTACTTTATTTTGAAAAAGAAAAACGCCTTAGGAAACAATATTCGGAAATATTCGCTCAATATATTTTCTTGTCACTTTTTAAAAAGTTTTCGGATACTGCAGTCGGGTAAGTTATAATTTACTTCAACAATTTTGTAATGTTTTTAATAAGTAAAAAAAAATAATTATTGTTAAATGTAAAGATAATCTTTTCGAAATTTTTAATCAGTTAATATAACTGTTATTCTACAAATAATATTAAAGTGACATAAGGTAAATATTATAGCTTTATAATTTTTTCAATAAATATTAAATTTCCTTTATTTCATCATAAAAAAAAAAAAAAAAAGTTAATTTCTAGAGATCAAGAAAACATAAAAAAACAAACAAAATAAGTTAACAATTTTCAAAGAACAAATTATTTTAAGAATATTAATTAGAAAAACTTTAAGGTATAAAATTTAACAGAATTATATGTATGATAAGAGTAGAAAAGATATTTATATACGAAAAAGTTTAAAAAATATTATAAACAATTGATAATTGATAAAATGTCCAGGTGTTTCATTTCCTGTAAAACGTGTATTGTGCATGCGCATTGAACACTTCCTGTGACAGGTATATTTTTTGTAACAGGTACTTGCTGACATCGGTATGGCTTGGTCTTCGTGACGTGTCGGGAATTTCAAATCGTTGGTATGTAGCTTTCTAAAGAATAATTTTAAATTGACACTCATAATTGTTCATAAATGTTTGATGTTCTTGAAGATTCTTTTAAATTAATATATATGTATTTGATATGTGTAAACGTAGACTTTATACACAAGTTGATAAAGTTATATTCGAATATTTATTGGCACATCTGTAAACGCTGTTCTTGTTTCGTCGTTGTAGAAAGAATGTCTTGTATTGAACAATACAACAAAGTGATGATAGATCTATAATTCTTCATTTATGTAGCAATGTTTTTGAGTAATAAGATAATTAAATTAATAGTTTGCTGTTGCACGATTCTGGCAATTGTTTATGTGATATTTATTTTGGATATCTCTGTCGCGCACAAATAATTATTTTGATAAGAAGTTGTCATCAGTATTTCTCTGGGTTTTTGTTTTTAAGTTTATATAACACATAGAAAAACACATTCTATTGATAAACGGAAGTTTTCGGCTTCTCTGGTTGAAGACAGGAACAAAAGTTTATTTGATTCCACAATTTTGTTGTTGTTGTTGTTGACGTTTTCGGCGGCTTCTTTGGTTGAAGACAGGAACAAAAGTTTATTTGATTCCACAATTTTGTTGTTGTTGTTGTTGTTGACGGCTGTAACAGTATAGTTATGTATTTTAAACATCGTAGACGCTTATTTCATATAATTTTACATTGAAGAAGGTGTTTATGGTTATATCTGCATGATTTTACATCGAAGAAGGTGTTAATGGTTATATCTGCATGGTTTTACATCGAAGAAGGTGTTTATGGTTATATCTGCATGGTTTTACATCGAAGAAGGTGCTTATGGTTATATCTGCATGGTTGTACATCGAAGAAGGTGTTTATGGTTATATCTGCATGGTTTTTGTTGTACATAGTTTGACATCGTAGAGGCTGACTGTAATATTTCTAGTCAGGCGGTGTTTGACTGTACCGGCGAATTCGCTCGCACCTCTCTGTCTTGGCTGGACGACAATCGTTAGACCAATATTTTGCATTTTCGTCCGTTGTCAGATCGGTTAATAGATATTATATACAATAAACATAATTTTTTTTCTTCAGATATATGAACAACAAGACAACTGTCATAAAATGCATAGGATAAGAATTCCAATGAAAGATGTTCTCTAGTGTAAGTATCTTATTTATGTAATACTTGATATTTAAAAATTTTTTTACTTTTCTAGACATATTTTGTTACTTTTTTAAACTAAGCTATTAACTTTAGTTTTATTTCGACAATAAGACTTATCCCAATTTAAACTTTATTTAATGATTGTGCGTTGACAGTTGAAACATGTATGTATACACATGTTATTCTAATATGAAATAAAGTATATAATCAATTTGAAACTCATGATTAAGTGCTGTCATTTACTTTGAAATGCATTTTAATTAACCGATCTATTAATAAACATATAGCGAATAACGATCATTTTAATCAATAAAAAAAAAATCAAAGATATATATTTCTAATAAAAGCAAGTTGAAACTTGATATAAATGAATACAACCACCAAAAATATAAAGATATACGATTAAATAATGTAATTTTCTGTTTTGTTTTATTATCTTTTCTTGTAACATATATATTTTTTCTTTCTATAATAACTATTTACAATGCCCGAGGTCAATTTTACCGAAAATTAGTATAGCATATAACACGGAATATAACGTTCTATAGCATACTGGCTAATCCTTGTAAAAACATTTTAACATTCGGTTTCAAGCGTTTATTATTATTATGTACCTTTGTGTTTACCTTACCAGATACTTTTATATCGAGGTTTTACAATACTTTTCTTTTTAGTAGAAATAGAGTTTATAAACATTTCATTATCTGAATCGTTATCATCAGCCATTGAATCTGACTGAATAGCATTATATGCTGCTTGTGACGGAGGATTGCTATTTACTTGTATGGAATTTGAGTCTGATAATTCTGAATCAGTCTGCGATTGCATTTCGTCTGAATGTGCATTACTTTGAGCATTTTCATTATTTGAAATTTGTTGTTGTTGTCGAAGATGTTTCTGTAATTCAGCTAATGGAATATCATCTTCACTATCAGAGTTTGACCTTTCTTTTCTTACATTCTTAGCAACTTGGGGTAATACTGATTCTGGTATTTCTGAAGCATCATCAGTATCGCTATTTTCAGGTGTAACTACAAATGTGGCATTTCTTTTTGGTCTGCCTGTATTATCTGCTTTTGGTATTGACCAGTCATTAATATTTGCAAGCCTAATTTGTTCTGCATGGACTTTAACTGTTGAATTGTCAAATTGATTTTTTATTATATAAGTTAATGGTGACCTTTTCTCCATAATTCTATAAAATGGCTTCCAATTCACATCTAGTTTGCTTCTCTTACGAAAATTCTTATAAAATACGGGATCGCCTATTTCAAATTTGACATCTTTTGCGGTCTTATCTGCATAGCTAGCTTGTTCTCGTTTTGCTTTTTTAAGGTTCTTATAAACAGATAGAAAAGTATTATGTTGTTCTTGTAATGCAATTTTGTGATACTCTTCGCCATGATAGCGCTGCCTTGGTTGTAGCAACAGGTCCACCGGGAGAATTGGATCACGGTTATATAACAAATAAAATGGACTATGCTTTGAAGTCCTAGAGACATTGAATCTAAGTGCGGCTAGTGTCATGTTAAGATGAATATCCCATTGTTTGAGATTTCCCTGGATTCTTTTAGCTAAGATATCATGTATGACTTGGTGAGAACGTTCATTTTTCGCGTTTCCGGCAGCATGATAGGTAGTTGTACGCACGTGATCAATTTTTAACTCTTTAAGTGTTTCTTTAAAAGCATTACTTGTAAATTCTGATCCATTGTCAGTGACAATTTGTAATGGACATGCGTATCTAGGGTAAATTTCTTCTAATAGTAAATGTATAATCGTATCAGTACTTTTGTCAGCAGTAGGAAAACACTCGGGATAACCACTGTAAAGGTCAATAAAACAAATAATGTAGCGGTTACCACTCATTGTTTTTTCATATGGCCCAATAACGTCGATACTCATGGTCTGGAATGAATACATTGGTACTCTTGTTTCGCCCATAGGTGCTTTTATTTTTGTAAGATTACGTGACTGACAATCAACACATTTAGAAACATATTCATACAATTCTTTGAACATATTTGGCCAAAAATATTTTTTGTTTTATTGTTGTAAAATAACCTCTGTGTTCCTGGGTGACCATTATTTAAATATTATTGAGTAATGACAAGGTGTTTTAAGTGTTGCGGAACAAACAATCTAAGATTAGGATTATCATCTACATTAGACAGATAATAAAGAACTTGGTCAATTTCTAAATATTTGCTCTGCACTGATTTAGTTGGCTGTCCGTGACGTAGTAACATTTTCAGTTCAAGAATAGTTTGATCTTTATCTTGCTCTGAGGCCATATTTAATTTTTCGAATTGTTTAATATCTTCTACAATTGGCTCTTGAAATTGGTATTCTTTGTTTGCTATTTCTTTGGCATTAAAGTGCGTAGAATCAAAAGCATTTACTTCATAGCTTTCATTAGTTTTCACAACATGTACATTTTCATTATTTGAATTATTACTTGAATTTGAGACTGTTATTTCGAAGGCATTGTCATTTATATCAGGCTCATAAAGTTCAATATCGGATTTGTTAGCATTTTTATCATCAGCTGGAGGTCTAGAAAAGAAATCGGCAATTAAATTTAATTTTCCTGGCAAATATTCAATTTTACAGTTATAGGCAGAAAATATTTAAAGCCCAAAGCTGAATTCTTTTGTTTGCATAGGTGCTTCTAAAAGATATTTTAAAGGTTATTGGTCTGTAAATATAGTAAACTCTGCATTATGTAAATAAACATCTAATTTTTGTAACGCATAATGAATACTGAATGCTTCTTTTTCTATGGTACTATACTTTCTTTGAGATTCACTTAATTTATGAGATAAGAAGTATATAGGTTTTTTCAATACCAGATTTGTCACATTTCTGACTTAAACATGCTCCGACCACTAAATCTGAGGAGTCCGTGTATAGAATATAAGGCTTATTTGGGTCTGGGAATGCTAAAAGTGGAATACGTGTTAACATTTTCTTTAATTGTTCAAAAACTTTCTTGACATTCTTTTGTCCATTTAAACAAAACACGTTTTTCTTGTAAGATTGATTAGAGGTTCAACAATTTTGGAATATTTAGGGCCAAAATCTTCTATAAAAACCAGCAGCACCAAGTAAAGATCTGACATCTTTAACACATTTTGGTACCGGAAGTGACCTAATAGCTTTTACTTTTTCTGGGTCTGGTTTTATACCTTCATGATCAATTATAAAACCAAGGTACTTTGTTTGTTGCTGAATAAAACTGCACTTTTTCAGTTTTAAGTTTTAATTTATGTTCTTTAAGCTTTGAAAATACTGTCTGTATATGTGATAAATGTTCATTTAATGACTTCGAAAATATTAGAATGTCGTCAAGATAACTGACAGCAAATGCCTCTAAACCTTGTAAGACATGTGACATGAGTTCTTGGAAAACTCCAGGGGCAGAAACTAGGCCAAAAGGTGTTCGGTTGGACTCGAACAAGCCTCGGAATGTCGTAAAAGCCGTTTTTTTCCTTGTCTGATTCATGCACGGGTATTTGCCAAAACCCTGAGCGCATGTCTAGTGTTGTAAAATATTTTGAAGACCCTAGTAGAGTTAAAATATCGTCAATTAATGGGAGAGGATATGATGTTGGCTTTGTAATTTTATTCAATTGTCTAAAATCAACACAAAACCGTTTACTGCCGTCACGTTTCCCGACAATAACAACAGGAAATGAATAAGGGCTATGACTTCTTCTTATAATATTAGCATCTAACATCTCATCGATTGCGTCACTCATAAATTTTTCTATTGTTTAAAGGTGTGCGATATGGGCTTAATTTGATTGGAGGATGATTACCTGTTGGTATTTTCATGGTTACAGTATCTGTCTGTGATAATTCAGAATCTTTATTTGCGAAAATATTTTTATTTTTCCTTAATAAGTCTCTAACAATATTAAAAATGCTCTGAAGGTGTATGAATATCATGTTCGAAATCGTTGTTAAGAGGGGAAGTTGTTTGAAGAGCCTCTGTGACCGAGTTAATGCTCTCAACTTCTGAAACTTTAGCAACTACTGAATCTCGTTTCAATCTTATAGTTTTATGTGTATTATTGACAATCATAATAGGAAATCTTCTATCAGCCGAAAGTTTCATAACAGAATTTGTTTATCATAAGACCTGGTTCAGAAGCAATCATTCCAGTTTCTATACTTTTTAATTCATATAATCTATCATTTTCCAAGCCTGGATTTTGTTTTAACTTAGCAGTGCACACATAACTGTTTGAGGTTTCAGAATAACATCCTGTTTAATCTAACAATTGATGCAATATGAATATCTTCTTCGAGGGGTACATATGTATTATTAACTCTTAAGCAGCCTAAAATCAAAATATAATCTAACGCCATTTTGTGTTAACCAATCACGGCCTAAAATAATATTTCTATTCATTTTAGAAACAACATAGAATTTTTGAGTTGTTTCTGTTTTCCCTATTTGAAAATTTAGATTTATATAACCATCTATATGTAAATTAATTTCCGTCAACTGAACATAAATTTATTTTCTGTTTTATAAGTTGAGGGGATTCTTCAATTTTCTATATATTCTGCGATGCAGAAGACAAACTTCAGCACCTGAATCTACTAACGATCTGTATTTATAGTTTTCTATTTTAATCAAACACGAATTAGGGCTTCCATCTAATGCTATACTAAATTTTGGTATTTTATCGTTCCTGTCAATGACCCCTTGTGACAGGAACTTGCTAGTTTTCCTGAAAATTTATCTTGTTTCTGTCGTAAAAATTTTGTTTACGACATTCACGCATAATATGACCAAAATTATTACATTTCCAGCACTTAATCTTTGATTTCAAACTATTATTGCTTATTATTTTTCCTAAATCGTGAAAAATTTTGTCGGTGAAAATACAGAATATATTTCATTTTTCCTAAATCTACAACTACGAACATGGTGACCTGGTCTCTTACAGTACACGCAAAAATTTCTTGTATAATAATGATTAGAATTTATTTGCTCTGTAATTATTGTATTTTGCGTGATTTGAGAATTAGAAAATTTTACTCTGGCAGAAAATCTAGCTCTGAAATTCTGTTCATTCATTGCGCAAGTAATTGCTTCTTGTAAAGTTTTTGGCTTTTCTCTCATAAGTTTAAGTTTTAAATAATTATGCGCTAAATTATCCGTAAACAATTCTACTAACTGAAGTTCAATTAAAAAACTATTTATCTCCTAGTTTATAATTTTCATAAGCGGTTTCAGCACAATTAATAAATTTTTTTCCCCAAAAAATTTGAACACTTTCTCCCAAATCTTGTTTTTAAATTTCTCAAAAGATAAAATTCATGATGTAAATCTTTAATTTCCCCAAATCTAGTACTTATTTCTTCTTTTAATTGTTCCCACGAATTACGGTGATTATCACGCAAATATCTACATATAAAATCGCTTACAGTCCCTTTACTTGATTGAAATGCGACTAATTTTATTTTATTATCATCCAAACCTTTTAAAATAGCATATTTTTTCTATAGATTTTATCCAGTCATTTAAAATATTTAGAATTTCCATCAAAAATTTGTAACTATTTCTGATAAACCCTGTGTACCTATGACAGTTGAAATATTATCCAATTTATCTGACACATTTCAAAAATTGTAGCTATATCTTGATCTGACATCTTCAAAAATTAGCAAACTACAGGTATATAAACGATCACTCACCTTTAATTTTCTATTTCAGGTACTTCGTTGTGTCCCGCTGTCCAAAATCGTCGCTTCGACATCGCTGGTCTTAGGCGCCAAATCAACCGTTGTCGTATAACGGAGGAAGAACTCACGGATGTTACATACTTTTAATATACAAATACAAACACACAAGTGAACGAGTGGAATACCAAAGTCGAACTCCTGCTTTTACATTTGAGAATAGTATATATAATATCAACCTGTCCTAAGGACATTTTATAATGTATATGAATACACACGTTTTAGAGTGACATATATTAATCATCCTGACATAAGGTCAGTCCGTATGCATCTCCTGCACTATAATACTCATAAATCATGTCATGTTCCATAGTGCACATTAAGAAATAAAAACCCTAATATATGTATATACATGTTGACTTGTCATTCTTTTTGAATATAGCGTGTATGACTCATTAGCCTGTGCAACCAGCTATACGACACTAAAGTAATGTAATTGTTATTATTTCGCAAAGGATAAGAAGTAGTTTCTGATACAGTTGGCTCTATACTAATGACAAAGGCTATTCAGTTTCGGTTCCAGCAGGTTCAGGGATAAGATCTCAACTGATTGCAGCCACGAACTATGAAGCAATTGTTATAAGCTCCATGTAAATAAACTAAAATATCATGTCCATTGCAAAACTTGAGTTCCATAATATTGGAATCTTTGTTTTGAAGATCATCATATTTCACGGTAAGGATCTTTATTGTTTATTAGTTCCCTAGAAATCTTTATTGGTACATTTGTTTTTGCAAGGGATAGTCACAGAGTATAATTATGGTAAAAAAACCCAGATCAAACGATATACGATATTTCTGTACATGCTCGTCAACGCGCGTGCTGCGAAATATAATATATGTGTAGATCGATAGTTGTTTTGTATATGATATTCGGAAATTAAAAGAAAGACGGCAAAGCTTTTCGATTAATTATCTTTTCTCAGAACAATTTTGCAGAATAGCGGTATTGTGTTTACATTCGGAAATGATGACGATGATAATAAAAATGGTGATAATAAAGATAATGATCTTTCGAATTTAGCCAATAAATAAGTTACTTTTAATTTCTGATTTTCGCTTTTGTTCATTCCCTTTAGCTGGCTCGGAAACTTAAGAATTTGAAGCGGGAACAAATTTTCAATACACGGGTTCAACAATTACAAATGAAATTCAAGGGACAGGACATGAAGTGATTGTAAATTTAGTTCAAGCCAGCAAAATGATTGCAAACCTGCCAAAATGGCTACCGAGTTATGAATAAACCAAAACAGTTACTTAATTGTTAAATCTCAATATATGCACATGACCAGTTTATATCTTCATTCACTTCATCAAATGAGCCGCGTCATGACAAAACCAACATAATGGGTTTGCGACCAGCATGGATCCAGACCAGCCTGCGCATCCGCGCAGTCTGACCAGGATCCATGCTGTTCGCTATCAGTTTCTCGTTTTGTTATATGGTTCGTAAGCAAACAGCACGGATCCTGATCAGACTGCGCGGAAGCGCAGGCTGGTCTGGATCCATGTTGGTCGCAAACCCACTATGTTTTGTCGTGACGCGGCTCAAATCATAAGCTATGAAGCTGAAAACTAGAATCAAGCGTGTCATAAACATTGCCTAAATGAATGAGCATATTGAAAAATTTCAAAATAACATACAAGCCCACTTACCTGGAGAAAATATCTGCGGCGTTATAAAAATTCATGACTCGGTAGGCATTTTTTTCTCAAGTTGGCAACCATTTCGCTGGCTTGAACTAAGTGTTAGCAACTCACGTCCTGCACCTTGACATTAGTCAGATATTTAGAAAACAAGAAACTTAAATACCGGTGTGAGTTAAGTTACATCTACTGCATACACTAACGATCTATAATTGTCAGCGTTTTAGAAAAAAAAGAACTAAGACATTCAATGTAATAGATAGATTTATTTGATACTCATCCTTAAAACAAAGGTAAAAATGTAAATTAATGTGTCCATATAATAAGTACAGGTTTGACAATATGATACATTGAAATAAAATTAAAAAAAAAAAAAAAAAAAAAAAAAAAGGGAAAAAAAATTCAACAGCAAAAGATATTTTTCGTTTTGACAACCTGCAAATTCTGTCAAATCACTTTATACTTCTCAAACACTGTTAATGTGAATGTAAGGGCAAAAATCAATATACTATGGAAAAAATCGTTTGCATTCTGATGGCATACATTATTCGTGGCGCTTATCCCCCGTTCACATATAGACGCCGCTTCTGCTACGATCAAAGCGTGGCCGAAAACGTGGCCGATCGTGGCAAATCGCAGGAGAAACGTAGTGGAGTCTATATAAGCGCAGTATGATCGCGGTAGTGACTTCATGATCGGAAAGCTCTACGCTCTCGCCACGTTTATTTTGAACGTGCTCAAAACAAGCGTAGCGGGATCGTGGCCAGCAAGAATCGGGGTAAAGTCGTAAAAAGAGCGTGGTGGAAGCGCCGTAATCGTACAAGCAGCACGGAAGCATCGTGGATAGTTCTTCATGATCGTAGTAAAAGCGTAGTACAGTCGGGAACATACCGAGTACGCTTCTACAACGTTCCCACTACGATCTCTCTACGTTCATGACGATCCTACGAAGACCTACCATGACCTTACGACGATCATACCACGAACTGTCATGTAGCAGTTTGTTTTTATAGCGCTGCTTTTTGACCAATCATAATCTGAGGAAGTGGTGTCTTCTATTCGGAATTCTCTCATCAGTGTACTATATTGTCCAAACTAGAGCCTCCTATCTGCAGATAGCCATGGCCGTACCCAGTATCTTCTTGACCTCCTTCTGCGCCTCCGCCTGTTAACAATCTGTGCAATTTCAATTTCAACCAATATTTGTTCTTGATGAAGTAAAGCCAGATGAATCAGATCAGCATTAATACGTCCGTTCATGTTTGAAGTTTGGAAGTAAATGAAAAATAATTTTTGAAACCCAAGATTTATATATATCATCGCCAAAATCGTACCAGAAGCGTACCACAAGCGTGAAATGATCGGCACCGTCGTAGCGACATCGTCGTACAGTCTTCTAGGTCTGCGTAGCGTCGTAGTGCGAGCTTGAATGTCGTAGCGACAGCGTACTATAAACGCAGTAAACGCGGCCGCTGGTTGGCATCGGTCAGCGTTACATCGTAGAAGAAGCGTGTCAGCCGCGCATTTGACGTGGGAACATCGTAGTACAGTTGTAATGAAGACTAAAATTTGCCAAATTGTTCGATTTCGACGCCGATCGGGCCCGATCAGCCCCGATCCAATACTTATTCAGATCGTGGCTTGATCGGCATGATCGTCCTAAAGTCGCAGCTCTGTGTGAACGGGGGGAATGTAGTATATGTAGTAAAATAATATTCAAATAATAACACAGATTATAAAATATTGCGCGTTCCTTACTAAAAATCATGTATACCATCTCATCAAAATTAACTCATTTTACATATTTTTTTTTTTATATTCGAGCGGATACAATGTTACAGTAACCGAGACACTCATCTTTTTTGAGTCTTTTCAACAAGCAAATATAACTAAAAAGCAAAGATATCACTCATTGTACAGTCATAAATCTACAAACATAAGTTACAGGCTCCTAGGACATAATATTTCCATATTTGCACGACTTCCCTCGTTCATAGTGTAACTGCTGAAATATATTTGATGTGCATCTTAGTTGTTCGTCCTTAGCCGCTGAGTTGAATAAATAACCCCCTTTCCTCGGCCTCGCAAATGTGACAAAAAACATATTCTAATTCGCGAATCAGAGATTTAGATATTAAAGATTATGATGGTTACAATATTCAGGGGATGTAACCCTGTGATTACTCTTTCTAAGTACAGCCAAAGTTATCTCTATCGTCCTCTACCAGTAAAGAAGGAAATAAAGAAATAATCTTCACAATTTAATTTCTCGATCGAAGAATTGATGGACATGATAAAGACTTTATTGAAACATTTCCCCCGTACTACATGACCTCCCCAGTCCCCACCTATCCCCTTGTGCGCATAAAAATTCCTTTTTCTTGCCATCACACTATTTCCTACGTTTAAACTTGAAAGCTTTTGATATGTTTTCTGTTATTCAAACTTACAATATGATATTTTAGAGGATGTTATATTTAGTTTAAAAAACAAAACAAAAAACAATACGTTAACATTATCCAAACAAAAGCTATTACTTATAAAATGTATATAAATATGCATGTCAAAGTTGGAAAGTTTTGTATATCTCATAATTATCTCATAATTATGGTACCTGAAAAAAAATGTATGATTTGCGTCCATTAATTGTCAAATTTTAATCTAAATAGTACAAGTATTACTGTAACTTATGTTCAATCTATTTGTTTTTATTATTTTTTTCTAATTTTTATTTTACCGAATTGTTTTAAATATTTCGCGTTTAATCATATTGTGTCTTATCTTAAGTCGAGACGTCACGGAAATTATCTTTTATTTCCTTGATTTGTACATAGTACATATACATGTATACAGCATCATTTACACTTTAAAGTAAAATACAAGAACATTTCACTCATGCAATAAACATAATACGAAGCTATTGCCGGTAATGAAATAAAAGTTGATAAAAATACCGGTAATTAAAAAAGAACAAGAAAATATGAGCCGCGTCATGACAAAACCAACATAGTGCATTTGCGACCAGCATGGATCCAGACCAGCCTGCGCAGGATCCATGCTGTTCGCTATCAGTTTCTCTACTTGTAATAGGGTTGGTAATCGAACAGCATGGATCCTGATCAGACTGCGCGGATGCGCAGACTGGTCTGGATCCATGCTGGTCGCAAACCCATTATGTTGGTTTTGTCGCAAATCGTTGGTCTTGAACTTTTTTTATTCTTAGTTTTAACTCTTAAATTTCTAAATTAGTGTAATAGATTTGTTTTGCTTTAAAGTTACAGCAATACAAGGATTATAAAAATTGAGCAAACATACAGTATGGTCTGATCAGATTGCACGGTTTTACAAGATGACCTTGCACTTATACCGGTGAGAAACGGCCAATCAGTGTCGTCTCCAGTCGGTTATTTAAAGCTAGAAGCTTGTATTTGAGACTTTCAGTAACACACACTTTTCAACCTTAATACATCGTTTGAGTATTCAAGAAGTATATGGCTATCAAATTATAATTAAAATGTAACATCAGTAAAATAAACAGTAAAATTATAAGAGTGTGAATTTACATAACAATATAATTTATGCCAGTCAATGACTTTTTCTGTATTCCAGTCACGACTATAATTATTTTAGTATGATACTTCAATCAAGATTTGAAGACATGTGTTTGACAGAGTTTTTGTGTGACTAGTTTTAATGACCGATAAAAAGAACTTGAAAAATATATTAAGTGAATATCCATTTTCATCTAACATATAAACTCATTAATGGGTGCCACAGATGAGAAGACGCAGCTATCAGCAGCAAGTGGCTATAACGAGGCATTAGCAGCTTCGATCAACATGTGTATTTGAAGTGGTTTATATAGACATGTGTCTTACTGTTGTTTTTTTTAAATGAGAAGATTTAATCGCATTCTACAGTTCTATAATCTAATTTAGTCACAGACATTGCGTACAATGACTCTGTGTAAACTTAAAATTAACACAATTAATATACTTTAATCTATTGCAATCTTTAAATTTACTTCAACTTATCATCGTGGATTTATAGTGATTTGTTGCCCTTCAAGCTTTCCATCATTTTTTTCAGCAGTATATTATTTTTACACGATAGAGAAAATGTGTACGTCGTTACTGTTGTATTTTGTCAGTATAAGCCTTGATTTCTTCTTGTCAAAGCAAATAGCTTGGGGATCTTTTATTTTATGGCTTTCAGAGACAATTTCTCCTAAACACTTGCCGTCTGATGCAATCTGTAAAACATTCCCAGAGTTGCCGCCACTCACGAATATATTCCCTTTATTATCAGTGCAAACACCCCACGCCATGTGAAGTTCTTCACCCGAAAATTTCCACAACAAACGACCATCGGAGTCTAATGTTACCAAACCTTTGTCTAAATCAGTTACGTGGACCCGCTTTTTGTTACGGCTCTGAATAATTGAGTAACTTTTAGAAAAAAGTTCATTCCCATACTGATCTAAATAAAGCGTACGTTTGAGCGTCCCATTTACGTCATAGACGTAAACACGTTTACGTTCGTTTGAAACGTATATCAAATCGTCAACTAAACCGATTCCCGTGCAACAATGGTCAAGTTTTATTGAACGTGTAGGTACCAGCTTGTTATTTTCTGTCGACATAAATTGGATCCTGTTATCACCACTAAAGTACTTTGCTTCTGCAAGAGTCACCGCTGCTTCGTTTTTATTGACCTCACAGACGGAGAGTGGATAAAGCTGGAACGACAGAACGTCCTTGACCGTGTAAGAGGAACCGTCTAATACTTTAATGTTCTTGTTTTTGTAATCGGACATAAGGATGTCACCAGATGATATCATACAGCAGGAATGTACACTGCAAACCTCTGTATCACACGGATGACTAATATTTACAATTTGTGAACTTTGTATTTGATATAGATCATTTTTCTCTTGATAATCACAAAACCCAAGAGAATGAAAGCTTTCTAGAAATTCTAGGAGTTTACAGTTTTGTGTGAAGACAATGCCACTGCCTGTATTTGATTCTTCTTCTAGAAACTGTTCTAAAGCTTCAGACATTATTGTGTTAAATGATTCAAGTTGTAAATTGGTAATACTTGTATTAATTACTTGTTGGCTATCTAAAACCTCCTGCATGTTTTTCAGTTTATTCGTCAATTCGCTTTCTTTTTCCCTGAACGTATTTTCAAGTTCAGTAAGTGTTGCCTGTTCCAGTCGATCTATGGATTTATTTATTTCAATCCTAAACATGTGTATATCTTGCAGACATTTTTCTTTCATTTCTTTCAGTTTATTTAACAACTTTTGTTGACGATTTTCTAACTCTTTCATATTTTGCATAAGAAAATCTGCACGTTTGGCTTGGTCTTGCTGTGTACCATTATCTCTAGTGAAAAGAAAATAAACGTATGCTGAATCATTATTTGTTTTACAATAATAAACACAATGCCTTTGAATCATAAGTAAACATACGTGCTGTATTCACAAAGGAAAATGGAGATAGTTTAGCTTAGTTTCTGTCTGTGAAACAAGTTCGTGCAACTTAAACTTCGATTCGAGATCGATATGTAGAACTAACCAGTTCTGGTGTCATATCAGGAAAATATATCGTGACCCATTTAAGGTTCGAACCCACGATCAAAGAAGAAGAAATACTTGGATTGTCAAAAGTTCTGGGGCCATGAACTTATTTTTATTTGTACATGTATGTTCCCGAAAGAAGATAATGTAACACAAACCACGGGTATTTATTAAAATAACATAGAATGGTTTGTTTTGAAGTTAAGGTTTCTGTCATTCAAACCAAGAATAATAGATTCGAGCGCTACATGGGCCACGACCGTGTGACGATCATATGACTTCAAGATTATAAAAACGTGTTGTTTTTTTTTAGTTCTGTCTCAAATTTCATTATTTTCATTGGTCAGTGCACATTCTCTGACTAATCAAATGACTGAGATTCGAGTCTGAGGGTTCAGAATTTCTTTATAACCTCTGACCCAGTACTGGTTAGTATTAAGAAGCGGATTTAATAGTGCTCCAGCTGAGCTTCAAGTATTCATTGCGATCTAATTAAAGTATGTTTAACTAGAACATTGAATTTGAATACAACAAAATATTAAAGCGATATATTGAATATACTATTTGAATAAGCTACAAATAGAAATACAGTTCGTATTATAGAATATCAATAATAAACATTAACCAAATGATGTCGTACTTATAAACTTCGTTATATGAGGTTCATCTTAAAAAACCGTCATGAACTGAGATCTTTTCTTTACTTTTTCCTTATTCAGTTTATGCAGTGTATGTGTGCACAGATTATATTTATATATAAAGGACTATATTTTGTATAAAAGACTTCAGAACTGCATAAAAATGCTGTGCATAAATTTGAAATGAATGACTAACCATATTGACCTATAAATCTGCATTTATGAAACATATTTATGTTTAAATCGAGTCACTTACCCGGAGGATAAACTTTCTTCCGATGTTCGGTGTCCGATTGAAGAGATACGTTTGTTTATAACGTTGCGGTGACCGGTTGATATCACGGGCATATTAACGCTGCATGACCACACCGAGCCTTCTGTTTGCTGCGGACGCTCTGGTAGAAAATCCGTCACCTCTTTTGTTTGTGAAGTATATTCTAGGTCCATATCCGTAGGATATTGTAGAAACTGTTTAGAAGAAACGTTGATTTCTTTTGTTTCTTCGATAACTGGTCTGAAGGAATATTCCTGACACTTTGTACAATAATAAATACCTCCGCTTGACTCGTATTCATTTTTACATGATGTACAAGTTAAGTCAATAACTGCACCTGATCCTTTTAAATTTAACTGTTTAACGTCTTCTTGACGCGACATAGTGTCTTGTTAACAAATACTGCACTGGATATACATGTACATGTCTTCTATATTGAATTACCCGCTCGCTGTATATAGTATATAATTTCACAGGTCCTTCAGTTTATGTAAAATACTATCCACACGGTTGGATATCCATGCAGTATTTACGTGATAGCAATCTTTAACATACATACCCCGATGACAATATACACAATTTATGCATTGAATGAACAATTACGAATTCGTATATATCCATTCACAAGGCGAATTAAAACATGTTTTAAAATATAGGTAATAAAATGGTATACTTAAAAAAAAATAACTGTGTCACTTTAATTAGAACATTTTATTTTGCTGATCAATATGCACTTATTTTCTTCAAATCAATAAAGTAAGGTAGAGAGACGCAAAAAGAAAAAGATTATATTGAAAAAATCTCAGCCCGCTACAATTGATGATATTCATTTTTATGTCGCTTGCTAGGGATCTTTCTTCGTCGTCTGTCCGTCCGTCCGTCACAAAACTTGTCCGAACTACTAAAAAAACTACTGGTGCAATTACATCCAAACTTTATAGGAATGATCGGTACCAGGTCTGGTTGTGCAAATCGTCGGTATTTTCCGGTTTAAATGTTTTTTGTCAGAGTTATGGTCCTTTAGCGATTTTATGTCCAAATTCCCGTACTACAAACGCAATTTGAGTGAAACTTTACAGGACTGATTGTTACCTTTAGTACTTTCACATAATTTACGGGTTTTCAGGTTGAATGATTTTTGCTGAGTTATGGCCCTTGAATAAAACATAGAATAAGCTGATAATACATCTTAAGTTTCAAACGACAATGACTTCCATGTAAGACTCCTTTGCTGGTTTTAAGAGACACGACAAGTTCAATGCGATTACTCGAAATCAGTTTATTGTTCCCGTACAGGTTAAAGGGACTCCACTGAGGTTTTTTGACATGATGGGACCGCAAATATTTTTTTCCAGATAAATATACCATTTGATGTAGGTTTAGACCACTAATCTTTGTGCAAAATTTCAGATCATTCTCGCACTTCATTTTTCCAGAATAATTATTCAAATTGTAATATAATGACCCAAAATGAAAAGCGTTTAAACGGGCTAAGAAAAGCACAAAAATATGATTTTCCATTTATTTTAAAGTATATTTCTTAACTATCTTTGCATATATTTCTGTTTAAAGTGCCCAAGCTCATTTATGTAAGAAATTAAAATGTTATGTTTTAGGCTTTTAAACATCAGTGGGGTCCCTTTAATGCTGATGAACATACTGGGGAAACAGACACTTCAACATTATCTGCAAAAGTTGTTTCCATCAGATGCTATAAATTTTAATTTAATACTATGAATCTATGTCTTTGTAGATCAAAAGACGCTGTGCTATTGCCTTTTTTCGTTGGGGTTTACGTCACATCAACACAGTAAGGTCATATGGCGACTTTTCAGCTTAACTGGTCGAGGTATATTTCAGGTGTCCCTTCCGTGCATTATTTTAGGCACAAATTTAACGGGCACCCGAGTAGAACCACCGACGTTATGTAATTTCCTGACATGAAAGAATGCAAAGTCCTTTGAACCCATAAGGGTCAAGTGGCTTGAAATCAACGGACGTCCCTTCGTATTATTCAATTCAGAGCTGGGATAGCAGCATGCATAGCTATCATAAGTGGTAAATTGCCGTCCAAATTGTTAACAACTATAGTTAAAATTGATTTATATGTATTGACTTTATGCAGACATCTTTATTTCAAGACTGGCTCTTCTTAAAGTTTAACTTATACCCTGCCCTGTTACTTGTTATATAAGAAGGTCCTTGTTAACATATAAAATTTAAGTACATGTATTTTATTTCTTCAAAAATTCAAACTTAATAGATATGCTTATTAAAGAGAACAACATTTCTAAATATATTTCTACCCGAAGTTACTGTAAACCACGGACTTCAAACGTACTGTATACTGTAAGTTTTTTTTTTAACTAGTCCATATGCAAAAATGGCATCGAAGTTAATTTTACCATGAATTTTACAAGATCAGGCATTATGAACAGTCAATTTTTTTTCTATATTCCTTGTTTTGAAGATTTTTTTTCTAAACATATGAATATATCTCGGGAAAATATAAGGCTGAAAAACAGTCATAGGTATCTTGCATTAAAGTACCAATGTAAAGTTAACGTTAGCAGCAAAAGTTTACTTACATGGAGTTCCATTCTAAAAATACTGTTTTCAGTGACAGTAAAGTTATCAATATTTTAGGTGAAAATTTACATATTTCAGTTTCTTACGGTCTGTAATTTGAGAACTATGTATGACACTTATCTTTCAATATTTAACAAGTAGAAATAGTTTTTTTAACCACACTAAATATCTTAAATGGAATTATCATTACGGACAAAACTTATCACAGTTTTAGGGAAAATTCCAAAATATTTACTGACTGAATAGTGAACAGTGCAGACCACAACAGTGCAGAGAACAGTGCAGACCATGATCAGATGGTGCAGATATATGCACGCTGACCTTGGTCTGCACTGATCACATGGGTGCCATGATTGCCACAAGTAGGTTCAGGATCAAAACCATTTTCAACACATCATAATAAATGCCATATTCAAAGATGTCAAACCGACCGGATAGACAGACAATTAGGAAAGACTTTGCAGACTTTGATAGACTATGCAGTACTTTGATAGACTATGCAGTCTATCAGTTTATTATGAATTACACAAGTCAGGTAAAAAATAAACAATAAATTAAATACTGATATAAATATATACCAAAAACAACAGCAAAATATCATATATGTATATATGCATCTAAAAAAATGCTACAAACAAAACTTAACAATAGACTTGTGAAGTAAATTAGGGAAAAAGTTAATCAGTACAAATCAACATGATTATCTAAATCTTATATAAATAACAAATATCAGGTACCTAGGCACAATGTGATCATAATTTCAAAACAAAACTGCCCAAATTCTTCTTGATGTTGATCGAACCACAAAAGTCTTCTTTCAAAATATCTAAATTTTTTATATTTGTTTAACTTACTGGTATTTGAATAATGTTAAGCTTTTGTCACCAGTATACAGCCAGGATAGACCAGACTCTAAAGTTTTTACTTGTAATCTCTTTAACTTCAAATGGACAGTTCAAATATCAAGGCAGGGTAGATCTATTACACATATATAACAAGGTAAGTGTTATATAGGTGTTATTGTTGTAATTTCATATTATGATTTTTGAGTCAGTCCGACCATTTCCTCAGAGACTGTCCAAAGTTTAGCTGCAGCTTCATCATCATGTGCTTGTGGAGCTTCTACCTTGACAACACAATCACTGTAAAATATGATACAAAATTGTTATGTTTTTTTATGTACCACTTTAATAGAAAGTTATGTACCACTTTAATATAACAGCATTATAATCATCTACACTTAGAAAGATACTGTAAGTGCAAAATTTTAACCAAGTATTGTTCTTAATTCACAATGGGCCACATTAAAGTTAAAATTTAGCCTTGGATAGTGACCAACAAAATTGATCCCAAAGACAGGTATTAAGTTTTATGTGAATACTTTCAATAGTTATAAAGAATGATGTTGCACTAAGAATGTTCAAACAAGAGCTGTCATCCAAGTGACAAATGCCCCCAAAAAGGTTTCTTTCATGAAAAGAAAATGAAAGTAAGTAATTGCTTAATATTGTTCTTTGTATTATTGTACCTAAAATATCTAACTGTGATAGCATGAACCTTCAAAATATAAGTGTGACCTTGACCTTTGAAGAAGGGATTTGGTTCCTGGACACGACAGAATGTTGTTATGAGATAGACATTTGTGCGAAGTTATTTCAAAATCCCTCGATGTATGACAAAGTTACAGTCCGGACACAAATGAAGTGTGGATGCACAGACGGACGGACGGTGCGATTTTAACATGCCTCCCTTCGGGGTCATAAAAAAGCCATAATTATGTCAAAATGTCAGAATTATGGGACATCGAAATTTACCTCCAGTTATGATCATGTGCTAAGTTTCAAGTGAAAACCATTAACAGTTTTTAAGATGGATGTTATATGCAAAACATTGATCAAGATTATTTTCCAAATTGAATAGAATTCAATCAAAATTCATGCTAGAAGTACAGGCCTTGTACATTGTAGTATAGTGACCTCCAACTATGATCCTGAAGTGATGTTGCATGCAAAATTTGAGCAAAATTTTAAACTACAACTCCGGGAGTCGCCTTGTGAACAATATAGCTGTCACTTAGGCATTTTCTTCTGAAACACTGCTCTTACAATGTACATGTACCTTTAACTTTAGTTGCATTTGAACTGATTGTAACAATGTTACATGAGGATTAATAAAACTGTTATATTATCAAATATACAAATACCATGGAAAAGTGTTACATTGACAGATCAAATGGAGTACTCTGTGATGGATTCTTTACCACTGCACTTCAGGTCAATGGAAAAAGCTAACATACTTAATTTGGAGTCAATGAAACTTATAGTGACCAAGTTATGCTCTGGACAAGCCTATTAAGTAAGGAAATTAACAAAGGGAATAATTAAAAACTTATGATGTGCAAAGTACAAGTTCTTGTGCACTGCACTTCTTCTCAATGAGATCTTTTATCCTATGAAAGTTTAAGTCAAAAGCAAGTGTAGGAGAATTGGCCTGGACAAAAATAAAGTTTTATAATAAACAAAGGGCAATTACTCTAAAATCATAAAGTACAGAGTACCAGTTCTTGTGCACTGCACTTCTTCTAAATAAGATCTATCATCGTATGAAGTTTCAAGTCCATAGCTTTAATACTTTAGAAGAAATGGCCTGGACAACAATAAAGTATCAATATTAACAAAGGGCAATAACTCAAAAATTAAGAAGTGCAGAGTAATGATTCTTGCATACTTCACTTCGGGTCATTATAAGAAGCATGCATACCAAGTTTGGAGTCAATCCAACTTAAAGTGATTGACTTATGCTCCAGACAAGATGAAGGGGACAACGATGCCAACGGCAAAAGTTACCCCTGTATGTTGCCTTTTCAAGGCGTCACAAAGAGTCAAATTCTGTCAAAATCCATGCAAGAGTTATGACCCTTGGTAGACAACAGTATTTTAACAAAGATTTTAAGCTGTGCAAGTTTTATAAAAATAATGATCTCTGGAAGCAGCCCAGACCAATTTAAACACCAGGGGCATAATCTAAACATTGCTTGTGAAGAACCATGAAGAGTTGTTCTTTACATTGAACACTGATGATGCATAATGGACACTAGGCACTCACAAAATCTCACCATGAGCACCGAGTGCTAAAAAAGGACTCTCCAATATGCAGCAAGTAAATCATTGATTAAATCTGCCCAAGGACTACTCATTCTTTCATCAATTAGTCTGTACATGTATGTGCACTAGATCTTTACCTGAAATATTTTCCAGACACATCAGTGAGATCTTTAGAAACAGCACAGTGAATTGTAGTTTGTGCACCCTGTATTGGAGTTTTGAAGACTAATAAAATCACAGGGACAAATAAAATTCTACGCCACAATGTTGTATCCCTATAGCGACCAAGTTCAGTTTTGATTACACCTGGGTGGAGAGAATTGGCAGTAACACCCGTCCCTACAAGATGAAAACAACATCTCAACTTTCATGTAAAACATGCAACTCACACATCTACTAGTATACTGTGAAAACATTTTTTGAAGAGTATAGACTATTCTTGTTTCTCATTATGTCAACTTTTTTATCTTTTTCATAGAACCTACTTACTATCTATCAATGTTGGTTTAACAGAATGATTCCCCATCCCCTACAAGTGAATACCTTCCAATCAAAATATTTCCACAGTATGCTATATTCATAATGATAAGAACAATGAACATTATTTCCAATGCACCCTTTCCTGGCATTTTTCTATGTCTGGTTTAAAAATACAAGAATGCATTAGAATAATGTTTACTGCCTCTTCCGAAAATAATCAAATTATGTATACCTGAAGTATTTTCCTGATGCATTATCAAGGTCAGGGCTAACAGCACAATATATAGTGGTCTGAGCCCCTTGGACAGCTGACTTAATGAAATGTTTGACTAGGCCATGATAAATTACATTGAGAAATATTCTCAAGGGTAAAATCTGAAGGTCTTTGAATCTGACAAGCTCTGTATCCACAGCACCAGGGTGTAAGGAATATGTTGTCACTTCAGTTCCTGTAATATGCCCACAATAAAAGAAAGCACATAAAGCCTAAATGACACTATCAAGACAGTATTCTATGCAATGGTGTCTTCTGTTTTAAATGCAACATAACCATGACATATATGTTTTCAAAGTTGAGTTTATACAGAGTTTACTTTAGTTTGATTGTGTAAAAACCTAGAAGCTATGAGACACTCTCAAATCCATTCCTGGAACCAACTAAGCAATGAATTTAAAGTTTCTTGCTCAAGAAAACAACAGCTTGCCCCTGACTTGTTTGAACCCAAGCCAGTAGCAGTACTTAGATTACTAGTCCCATGTGCTATCCATTCTTACCATGCTGCTACATATATGACTTTCCATCTGTACACCACAAACAGTAACTGTATTCCTTATTATTATTATCATGGTTTTCTCATGTTTAAAATATGTATTGTTTTGTCTTGTGCTGCCATAATACTATATGTATTGGGAATGACATTGTATATATGTTAAAGCAGCATGCCTTCAGATGAGCCAAAGTATTTTGATAAAATCAAACTTGAGAAAAATGTACTAAGACTTAAGGAAAAGTAAAATGATCCAAGATTCAACTAATAATTTACATGTTATGTGCGATTAATGACTGATTTTTTAGTATTTATAAATATATTTCTACAGCATTACTAATGCAGTTAAGCCTTTTTGGTGATTTACGTGGGTTGTAATTGTCATTGATAAATCGTAATTTGCTTCCTTTTGGTTACTTCACAATATTATATTTTTAAATACATTTTAAAAGTTTCCATGAAAATAAGCAAGAATCTGGAAGCTTGCTGCTTTAAAGCCAAATAAACATTGACTTGAACATATCAAATGTGAGCCACTATAAGGCTTTCAAGCCCTGATTGGCATGTACTATAACATAATGACCTTACCTTGTAAACGTTTACTCAGTTCCCTGGTAAAGAGAACATTGGCTAATTTACTCTGAGAATATGCTTTAGCTGGTGAATACGACTTCTCTGAATTTAAATCATCAAAGTTAATGGTTCCTCCTGAAAAATATACCAATGTACACATGTACCTTTCATCTATACATACATGTATATTTACTTTCCCTAAATATTCTAGTATTTTTTTTAAAAAAAAATTATGGAGTCAAAGCAATGTTTAATCTGATAATAAAGGTCTGTTATTGAACTTTTTGTAGCATCAAAAAGTTAATGTAGTATTATTTCTATATACAGCAATATCTTTAACATGAACTGTCAAAGTTTTTTGTTCTTTTATATAAACTTGCTTAATTGTGAAAATATAAGTTTAATAACAAGATTTGGAATATGAAGTCAACATGCATCTATAATTTCAATCTTTTAATAAAATATTTAAATTTACATGTAAAATATTATAAATACCTACTTTCATGTGCCAGGGAAGAGACATTTATAATTCTACTAGGTGCTGATTTCTTCAACAAATCCAGTAATAGGTTTGTAAATAAAAAATGTCCTAGATGGTTTGTACCAAATTGCATCTCAAAGCCATCTTTTGTCTTCCAATAAGGTGTCCACATCACACCTGAAGTAGTTAAAATAGTATAGTTCATAATAACAGCATACATGTCTACACAAAGTAACAGATACAAGAAACAAAGCAAAGATTATATGGGAACTGTCAATCATAATTTTCAGGAGTTTTCAATACAATATAGTCAATATTGTACAGTGAATGGATGTGTGTGCCAATCATGACACAGAGAAGACATTAGGTTTATGTTGATTGTTTGAGTTTTCAGTCACATCAATGTCACATATATTATCACTGTTTAAAGGCCCATTATGCCTCAGAAATGCTTTTATTCTTTCATTTTTCAAGAACCTTTTATTGGTGATCCTGCTATAATTTCCAAAAAGTTACTGACAGGCCAATAACCTGAACTTTCTTTTGCTTCTGTACCTTTTTGGAAATTAGTACAGTTATAGTGGTTTATTATTTTGTTAAAGTCAAAGTACTACTTTGTTTACATGTTGATACTTTTATGACAAAAGATATCACATTCAGTGGTAATAAGCATCTAACATGCTCTAAAACCATTATTCAAGGTTATTAAGTTAATGTTTCCCCTTTCTAAAGAAGGAGAAAATTATTTGTTTCTGTAAGACAATCACTTTCTTCAATTTTGCCCCTAAGTTGATACAGGAAGACTGCATGGAGACCTCAAATGTTTGTTGTTCAATTTCTTTAACTACAAACATGCCTGCTAGTAGAGCAAGCAACCTTTTGCATACTTGTATGATGGTGTAACATTTATTTTATCAAAGAAATCATTTATCACAGACACGTGCTGCTTTTGCGACTGTGTATAAATGGTATAACATGACCGTGCATAAATTTTTGATGTTTGCTTTATACAAGCATTCAGTTTTAGGACACTAATAATAGCAATATGGGCATGTCACTGAAAAAATAATTCTTTTTACTGTAAACAGTTCTTATTTTGGGTATGAGATATAAATAGAATATTATTTTAGTGTAGATTCATTACTTAATTTACTGAACACGTTTAATAAAATAATATTATGCTCACTAGAGGCTTGCATAGTATAATTTTATTCAACAAGTTCAATAAATTCTGTATTGAACCCACACTCATTCAATATCCTCTATGTCCTAAAATAAGCAGATCTGTTTAAATAGTAAGAAAATCAATATGTACTAGCTATTGTTCCCTTAACCAATAATACATTAATCTTTAGCACATCAAAATATTGAAAACTTGTAATCACATGCAAGTATCAATGTCAACTCATTCATTCCTACAAAAGAAATTATCAGAATCATTTTTACCACAAATTATCACTGCATATTTTACTATCATTATTCATACCTGCATTATTAATGAGAACATCAAGCCGTGCCTCCTTTTTAATAACATCATCGGCACACTGACGGACAGATTTTAATGAACAAAGGTCTAGAACATACACAACAACATCTTTATTGCCTGTTGATTTTCGGATATCTTCTGCTGCTCTTTCGGCTTTAGTTATGTCACGACATGCAAGTAAAACTCGTGCTCCTGAAAATACATTTTAACCAGAATTATTCTTTAGAAGAAATTTTAAGAATCATGTGAGTGTGAATGTTTGAGTGCTTGCACATTTAACAAGTGCATTTTAATAAAGATTGACTGCATTTCTGCTGATATTGCAATTCATTTATAATACACGTTACTCGTTCCCATTCAAATATTGTTCAGCTGTTGTGATAATATATTTAATGATTCACCATGTCTGAAATTCACTGTTATATTCTAGTAATCTACATGTATTTAATAAGTATCATCATGTAGGTGTATTGTAAATAAGAGACATTAAAACAGAGCAGCCAAGCTTATCTGGATTGATAACTGAAATAATAATCTAATAAATCTACAAGAAAAGAATTATTATACAGTTTTTTTAGAGATCTTATTATAAATATAGATACTGAATCTGTATGTACATTACATATACATCATGTAATGTTTAAGCTACTGAATCTTTGTTTCTGTTAAATAATAAAACTGTAAAATGACCTAAATGTCTTATTTTGTTTTCTGTATCACTAAGAGTGAGTAAATATGTACCTCTGCTAGCTAGATCTTTAGCAGTTTCCTTGCCTATACCTGTATTAGCACCTGTTATAAGCACTGTTTTACCATTCATGAGAGCTTTACTCCTGCATACACCACCAGCCATGTATCTTTTCAAAGCAATTAATCCACATGCTGAAATAAGTCATAATGAAAAATGAAGAATATATAAATATAATGTTAGTAATCTACATGAATAGAAAGTACAGTCATAAAATTAGCTTTTAGTGATTTCAACTTTATCTTTTTTAAAAAGTTTAAGACATGTCAGTACTGGTGCCCAATGCCCATCTGCCTATTGTTAGTGCTTGTGCCAAACTAACATATGCTTTCAGTAGTTCAAGAAATACAGACTTATTAGACTGTATAAGAGGAAGTACAAAATTGCTGTCTTACACAAACCTGAATTTGTATTTAGCATGTTGTCATAATGAATTAAAAATATTGCAATTGCAGGCATCATCACAGAGCTATATTTACTGTAGTAAAAGTCTCTGGCATAATGAATATACTTTTAACACTTCAAGAGATATAGAGTGACACAAAGTTGTTGGCTGATACCCTTAATTTTGACTATGACCTTGACCTTGGAGAGACTGGGGTTTAGCAAGTTGCATTAATTTGATAGAACATTTAAATTTGATCCATTTAAAATGAATATCCTCCAAGGGTTGATGTCCTAATTTAAACACTTTAATGTCTACCCTAATGTTTTCTATTAGCCACTTTTACACCCATAAAAATCAGAAATTATAGTCACACAGAAGAACAAAAGTTTCCCTTTTTTATTACATCTGACATCAAAACTAATGTTCAATTTATATGTATATGCTGAATAGGGCAATTTATATATGAATACTGCCAACCTCTCCTACACGCAAGATTTGTGCATGTTGGTAAATGTTAATGAGTGGTGTGACAGAAAGTTAAAACCTGAAAAAGAACATAATCAGGAAGATTTCGAGACGTTTCGGCCCCAAGACGTATCGGCCCCAAACTACCCAAGACGTTTCGGCCCCGGACGTTTCGGCCCTTTACCAAATCGGCCCCAGAATATGTATTGTATTTTAACCGATACATTAATAACATTTAAATGATAAAATGAATCAATTAATATATATATTTAATCATTTTGTATAAAAACTAGATTATAATAGTAGTAGGGGAAAAGTAATCAATACAAACAGAACAGAACATAAACTTTATTTGAAAAAAATATAATACACAAACAAACAATTATTTACAACATATATAGATAATATTTTATCAATACAAACAGAACAGAACATAAACTTTATTTGAAAAAATATAATACACAAACAAACAATTATTTACAACATATATAGATAATATTTTATTAATACAAACAGAACAGAACATAAACTTTATTTAAAAAAAATATAAATAATAAATAATTATTTAAAGAATTAAAGTGTCATAATTGTTTAATTCTTATTTAATTATTATTGTTAATCAATCAAGCAATATACTATAGTGGGGCCGAAACGTCTCGCGGAAAAGGGCCGAAACGTCCAGGGGCCGATTTTTCGACTGGGGCCGATTTGGTTTGGGGCCGAAACGTCCTGTTTCCAATCAGGAAAGTGTGAAACTTTGTAGGAATTTATGTGCCTAAATGGACACCATACTTTACATTTCGGTATCATTGTGCTATACCATCGAGTTCATGTCCAAAACATGGCTGATTGGTGTAGATGTTTCTAATTCAAATCTTTGACTTATTACTCTGCTATAATAATTACTTAAATTAGTAATTTACTAATCGGACACATGCACCATCATTTGATATCTGTTTTGTCAATGATAAAGGGTGAAAATGAGTAAAAATAGGTCAACAATTGTAAGAATTTAACAATCCTTTGGTATATTCTTCATGGCCATAACATGATAATTATGCAAATTGAATGATCAATGATGACAAAGAAATTCAAAGTGGAATTGTGTAACTTTATTATCCGGTTTCTGTTCCTGTCCGAAATCTATAACAGTCAAGCAAAAAATGCAACATTTCTAACCTGTAGTAACTGTACATGCTATTGCAATCTTGTGGTCTTGAACAAATTCTTTTGCAGATGCCGAAACATCAGTCAAATTTTTCAACGGCATTGTGTTAAATCTTTAAAATTTTATTTAAATCAGTGTCATTTCATTTCACTTTGGAACATTGATAATAGCCGTATTTACACACCGGTATGCCTAGCTAAATTCTGGCATTATTACCGTATTCGTACGTAAGGATCCCATGACATTTCCACAATTGCTTAAAAACGAAAACGATACAATTTAAGAACTAGAAGGAGGAAAGGAGTTGAGCCCTGATAACTGTGAAGTATATTCAGAATAACAAGAAAAAGAAACCCTGTAAATTTTCCTTATACCCTCCATATACATTATAATGTAACTTACATACATGTAATACATGTATATTCAACCAAAGAAGCTAAATACTTAGGGGTAAAAACTTTCATTTACCAAATATGTAAACAAAATGATATCAAAAGCAAACAATTTCCTTAGATTTATTAGAAGAATTGTTTAAACCCAAATACATGTAAAAAGATAAAGGAAACTGCATGCATATTAGACATATCAGGCCCGTCGTCACGATTTTGTGATTGGTGCGGCCAATTTGGTATGTTTTAGCTAGAATCTAGGGGTGTACAGGGCTCCCCCAGAAAATTTTTTATTCTAGGATGCTCTCAGGGGCGTTTTCCCGTATATTTGGCACAGTTTACAGCCTGTCGCTAGTACAAATTATAGTAATATGTCAACGATTTTTTACAGATTTTATGTAATTGATATTTGGCAAATGAAAAATAAACAATAACTAATGTTGTTATAATTCTTTAGATACATTTTTATCTGATAATTATAAATAAACAAATACAAGAAATATTACAGTACGTGGATTATTGTTTAACATAAATCACACAATGGTATAAGCTTAAATAGCAGTCGATGCCATGATGGAAGAATAGTACATTACGAGTCAACAATAACCGCTTTTTGTTTAGCAGTAACTTGTATTTTGCTCACAATAATCTTGCAAAAATCAGAGTCTCATTTTATGTAAATTTTCCAAAAACACATCGCCGTCGTTCTCTGGTGGTAATGAACTCATCGGCAATTACACGTAAGTTGAGTGAATCTGTCCTGTACTTATGAATATGTTACACCATTAGATTGTTCAAGCGTACTTGAGACATTGTCGATCTCAGGTATGTTCTTTATTCTTTATTCTGAGCGCCGAGAATGTCCTTTCACTGGTAGCATTAGTAGCAGGCATTACTAACAAAACCTTTAACAACAAAACGACCTTAGAAAACAGTGCTCGTTCTAACACAGACTGTACTGAAACAAATTTCAAAGAGTCAGGTAGAGTAACAGTACTATCTCCTGTTTTTGTCAAAATGTGAACGTAGCAGCTGAAGCTGCACCTCTAAGAGGTCTCGTTTAATATCGTTGCCATAGAAATCACAAACAAAACCAAGTTTTCTAGTGTACTCGGTCTTCAAAGGTTGTACGGCCTTAATGAGTAAATCCTCCACGTTCTGAAGTACGCGATATCCCGGTTGGTCAAATCTCTCTTTTACATTGGCCATTGCAAGATCGAGTGCTTCAAAGTACGTAGGCCGGAACACGTCCTGCACTGTAATTATGTAATAGAGTAAATTGAATGAGTTTACTACTGAATTCCAAGAGCTGAATGAAAATATATTACACGAGCCTCTGGCGAGTATAATATTTTATTCAAAGAGTTCAATACATTCAGTATGAACTTACACGAATTTAATATTCTGTTTATTACATACCAAAATTAAGGACCTTTTAAAGTGAAAAAAGAACCATTTTCATTGACGCCCATAGAAAAACGATAACATTCAGTGTGTATAACGCAAATGACGTCAAAATATATGCACGGCCGTGCAATACCATTTTCACGGAGTCGCAAAAAACGGCACTGATCAATATGACTGTGATAAAAATATGACTTTTGAACGGTTGCCGTGTACAATCAATAAAATGTTAACAAGTTCTCGGAGAATTCAGGCATACTAGTTTAAGATATTCATAATGCATATTGCAAATCTCATGCACTGTTTTTTGTTTTGTTTTTTATATCATAATATATATAACATTGACGAAAAAATGTACTCACCAAATGTTCGTTTTGGTTGATTTGGTTCCGATAGAATTGTGTCACACATCATGGTATTTTAACTATCTTAAACTATTCATATTAAGATACTTGTATGTGAACAGATGTAATTAATTTAAAGAATTGTAAACATATATATGTGTGTATTCAGGATTACTCCTATTATATACGGTGAACTGTCCGAAGCCACGTCGATGTCTTGACTTCGTAGGACCCTTACATATACCTGGTCAATTAACAGTGTCCAGTTGTTTCTTCGCGTCATGTTTGTATGTTACCGCGCATTGCATAAGGGGCCAGTTAAGTGTCTAATTGCTAATCAGCGATGTGTATTTTTTTTCTTTTTTTAAAAAACTCATTTTTGGCCAAAATATTAACACGATCGAAATAGTAAAATTTTGATTTTAGAAACACCCGCAGATGTGTTCATACGGCGGTTATCATGGAACCTTCAATGTGGCACTTCCGTGCCATTCCATGAAAAGCGGCGTATGGTCCCCAAGTAATAAAAAGCGTGTGCCCTAAACGAGAAAACAATGGGCGGAACTAAATAAAATGAAATTTTGAAAGGGGATCAGAGGTTATGAAGCCTGCGTATCACAGATAAGACGTCAAAAGACAAATTGAAAAGCAGGCAACATATCCTAAGGGTGATTCAACATTATTCAAGTAGGAATATTGGAACCACCCAACTAGAAAATGCCTCAGGTTAAATACTGTTCCATATAGTTTGGCATCATTATCCTTGGCAGAAATACTTTAATTCATAAGATAGAGCAAGTCCAAAAATCAGCTGCTAGATTGATGTCCGGTTGATGTAAACAAGTTTTAAAACGTCGGAGCGTCAAAAATTATTAATATTGAAAGTAATTATTTTTCAAATGAACAGTTTTAGACAAAAAAATAATAGACAAAATCAGATTAAATTTCTGGTCATTTTGATATAATTTAGATAATTTTCTGTTGTCGGAATCTTAAAATATGAGTGAGTATGAACTTCGCGCAATAACAGAAGAAGCGGAGACGTCTGAAAAAAGCGAAGAACATGGATCCGATCGCTATGAAAGGAGAGAATATGATCTTAATGTAAAGAAATCATTGAAAACGAAACTACATGCAACAGAGCGAGAAGATGTAACATTAATAGAAACTGCTGGAGGTCTTAGAATAATTTTCAATACGGGTATGTACGAACTTTTGAAACAATCTGTAGATACATTCTACAGTTCTGAAAAAATACTGAACAAATGCCAGAAAATTCTTGTACATGACAAACAAAGGCAATCTTTGTCGAAACAAAATATAAAATAACATCCGGAAGACAAGGGATATACACTTTAAATATGTACCATTCCAAGTCGTCATGTTTTGATAAATGGGAAACAACAAAACGTGTTTCTCTGAAAAAGACTTACCAGAAATACTAAAAATACTTGAAGATCATTTAAAAAAACAATAATACATCTGCCTAAAAGAAATCAATGAAAAACATTCAACAGTTAATTTTGTCAAGTAAATCAACAAATACTTCTGAAGAATGTTCAACTGATACTGACGGCGATCACGAGCAGCATATACCATTACACCCTCCTGAAGTGAATAATGATAGAAACCAACCATTACTGAAAGAGAAATTGTTGACCGATGACAATTCAAGTCCAATCAAAGATATGTTAAAGGGCATTTCTTCCTCTATCCTAGATATGCGTAGAGAGCTAAACATTCACATAACAAAGACGGCTTCAACAGATAGGGTGAAAAAAGATGCTTTGATTAGACTGAAATCTCAGAGGCAGGTAAATTCTAATGAATTGAATGGTGAAGTCGAACATATAAAAAACAACACGGAGGTAATCAAAGAACAAATTTTCTTCGGTAAATTCCTGTCTGGTTCAAAGGCTACAGTCTATTTCAGATCATCTTCGGTCAAAAGCTAATGTTCCTTCTAACAGAACCGCTCATAATAAGAAAAAGTAGCGTGGACAATAAATCTCCTCATCAATCTCATGATTATTCCCTAGAAATGAATTGCTCAATAGATACTCTACAACCAGTATCAATAGAAGACAAGATACAGGACACAAACCAAACACATGTGAAATATATAGAGCCTTCCATTAACAAAATTAATGATTCAGATTCACCAACCAAATCCAACAGGTCCAGTAGATGGAAAACTCTTATTGTCGGGGATTCTATTCTGAAAGGAATTCATACACGAGGTCTGAAAAACAATGTTGATGTGCTAACATGTCCAGGGAAGCAGACAAGTGATGTGTGTTATCGTCTGCGCAATTATGATTTGAGTGAATACAAAAAAACATTGTTATTTACGTTGGTGGAAATGATGCGGCAAACGATGGTTCCGTTGATAAAGTTTACGAAGAACTCAAAGTTACCGTTGCTTCAATGCGTGATAAATGTGCTATCTATCTGTGTTCTCTTTGTCCACGCCGTGATACAGATGTTGAAACCAACTAATCGCGTAATTAAGAGAGTTTGTGAAGATACCAGGGCTACATTAATCAACTGCTTTCCAATTTCGTCTATGGGGGATGGCAGTACAGCAAAATATTACTACAGTCGGGATAGAATTCATCTAGGTTCTAAAGGAGCAAGTACTTTAGTAGCTGTAATTAACAAAACAATTCGATAAATAAGGGAACGTGATTCAAATGGACATGGTCAAAGACGACCCTTCTTGGGACCAAACACAAATGAAAAAATTTCAAGGTCAGATTGAAATAACTTTATTCACTGTAATATTTGTGGTTTTAACAATCACACCACAAGGGAATGCAGACGAGGCAGGAAGTGGTAGGTTCATGCAGACAGACATAATCTCTCATATGAATGTACTAACAAATGTAATAATATTTTTTCAAAACTTTGCAACACTTGTGATAAATTAGCTTGTGAATGTCAATTCGAAAACCTAAATCATTCTATATCAAACAATAATTCAAATGGTATAGATCTTGATAATAATTTTAACCTTACTTCCTCACATAGTGACACAAACTTGT